GGTTTTATATTTTATTTTGGAAACACAGCGGTTGCTAAGATATTGATTTATGTTCTATTGAATAAATGAAACACTTAAAATTTAAAATATATAAATAATATCTCATCTGAAATGTAAGTCAGAATGCTGTACAAATGCTACAGGTTTCATTAATTTAAATGAATGTGATTACAATACTTGTATGTTTTAGTGACGGATGCAGTGGATGGGGGTTGCAAAAGGATAAATCATTATTTCTTCACTGGCAGTAACAAATGAATACAGTATTCAATTTTTAATTTGGGGAACACTCTAACATAACCCTCTCTCTTGGACCATAAGTCTATTTATTTGTGCTTCCCACACCCGCCAAAAACGTTTTGACTCCACCTCTGATGTATTCAATTCTATCTTTTATTGCAGTGGAAAAGACAACTCGGAGGTCATAATGCTAGATGAGGAGTGTCATTATATATGGAAGTGAATATGACAATTATTAATTTTAAAAGCTGAAAATGTTATGATTTTGCTCTACAGGTTTTGATGATAACTCTACACAAGGAACGCTGAATTTTCTGGCACTTCAGACATTGATTGTTGGTCGTGGAACCAAAGAACTACGGAGGTACTTTCTAGACAAAACTAACCTTACCAAACCGGAAGTTATACCATTTTTGACAAGGGAGAGGTATGCATTACTAAAGGATGTTGATTTTGGAGATGATTCAACAACAGTGTTTTCATCAACCAGCAATATTGATGCATTCCATATGGACATCATGATGAAGTTAATTTGCTGCTGTTGTCACAACACTAATAATTCAGAAGACTTCTGGGAGAACCCTCCAGTTGTTGACAATTCTGAGCTGGCAAATCTTGTCCGCATCTATCAATATAAGAAAACTGTTCTAGACTGCAGTTATAGCAACAGTGTCACAAAGAAGGTGTTTGATAAGCAATGGAAGGAACTCACAGCAATTTTTACAGGTGTTGGAATTCCTGTTGAAGACATTGAGAATTACCGCGACCCATGGCATTACAGGGATGGAGCCTTGGAAGGCAAGTAACTAATCTTATTAATAATAGCTGCTGCTGCTGTTAATGCTGATTTTGCTGTTGATGCTGAGTCTACTGCTACTCAAGCTGATTCTGCTGCTGATATTTCTGATGAAGATGCTGCTGCTGATACTGAGTCTACTTCAACTGATTCTGATTCTATTGCTGATGCTGATTCTGCTGCTGTTGCTGAATCTGCTGTTACTGATTTTGTTGATGTTGCCGATGCTCATTAATAATAAATAATATTATTAGGTTTGTAAAGCCTATCATGCAAACAAGCCTCTATGTGCTTGTGATTGAGCCAGTTGAGGCGCCAGTATTTCCCAGATCGGCTTTCCAAAGTCCCTGACGAGAACAAAGTGGGCGTGGTCGGGCGTTGCTAAAAACCTTCCAAAACAGTCCAAGTGGCGAAGCCCCCAAAAATATGACTTAGTTAGAGGTTTCAAAGGCTTATTTAATCAATTTTAGAGTCTATTGATATGTAAAAAATATATAATTTTTTCCCCAATAATTTGTGGTTTTCTCCCCGACAGCAAAAGACTGGACGCAGTATATAACTTTGTACCCATGACACTATTATGATCTAGTACTACACTTAAATCCACAAAAAAAACTTGACTAATGTCGCTGCTACTGATGACAGTGATGCTGATTCTATTGCTGATGATCTGCTGATTTTTTCTGCTGCTAATACTGATTCTTTTAGTATTGATTTTGCTGCTGATGTTATTGCTGCTGCTGATTTTGCTGATGGTAATGATATGCAATAAAATCTAAATGAAAGTTGTGTATTAAAGGCATAATTGTAAATGTGACAAATTGAAATTTAATAAACTTACTCTTCCAAATTATTTTAATTTTTCATTTCATTTTTGACCAGAAATAGGTATTGGGCACACTGTCATTGAAGAAATCAAGAATTTCCAGGCTGTGTTATCGGCTGTTGTTGATGTTGGAACTGCAACCATGAGAAATTACTTATTGGAGGTTAACAAAATTAACAAGAACGATGTTGGGAATTATCTACTTTCCGAGAAGAGAAAGGGTAGCTTTAATAAAGTAATAAAAAATATCAGTAGAGAGCAGAAGTCGAAAATGTTCACACCATCTGCTGACATTGATACTTTTGATATCTCCATCATGTATTTAATAATTCGAAACTGCTCCAATGGCATTCCAGAGTCATTTTGGAAAAATCCAGATAGACTGACTAACTTGGTGCACATTCACGACTACAGGAACACAAAGCTGGCACATTCTCCCGACAGTAGAATGTCAAACAAAGAATTTGAAATTGAATGGAAGAAAGTGAGATCAATGTTGCATGCTGCAGGTGCTTCTTTAACTGACATTGACAAATATAAGGCACTAAGATTCATCAACTAAATGCATAATTCTACCCATGTTGAAGGAAAATATGAATTTTTGTATGTTCATTAAATTTCTGATCACTCACATGAAATGTGAACATTTTATAGCACTGAGGAAAATTTCTGATTTTGAACTTGATGGGTTTAAGAATGTTACATTTTGGTGACTAGGGATAGCCAGTCATGAGTTTTAAATTAGGCATCCATGTACAATCTCAATTTTTTCTAATTAAATGTTAGGATGCCAACTGTAAAGTTTAGCCTATGTCATAATTCAAATAATTTTGGACAGTATTTAATATATCAAATATACATAATATTGTTTAAATTAGTTAAAACTGTAAATGTGTTTATTAACGTCTGTTTTAATATGTACTGTTGTATCAGCATCACTTAATGCTAAAGCTCCTTAATTTTATTGATAATAATAATAATACTAATGGTAGACTTATATAGCGCATATTGTTAAGCCCTGTATGGGCTTCACATTATCGTTTAATACCGCGGTCATTGGATTAAACGTCTATTGAAGAACTAAAGCTTCCTAGGGTATTCGATTGTTGCAACATCAGTGCATTTGGTATTAAACCCTACCAGGTACCCACTTACCGTATACTCCTAGGTGGAGAGAAGCAATGAAGATTAAATGCCTTGCTCAAGAACACAAGTGAAATACACAGCGAGAAGGATTAAAACCCCAACAACGAGGTTGGCAAACTAAATTTATAATTGAAACTTATCAATTAGTGTCAGTAGATCGGCGTCGGGCTGTAAAAAAGGCGTTTTTTTCTAGCCAATTTTGCTTGGTGGGCCGCAAACATAGGGTTTTTAATTCATCGTCGCGGGCCAAAAGAAAAACGCTGTTGGGCCGCACTTTTCCTGTCTGTGCTTTAAATGATGTTTACCATCACAAAGCACAGAATTTAAGAAGTGATTGATATGATAGAGGGGATACATTTTTATGGCACACACTGTAACAAGAATTTTGATGCATATATGAACACTTGTATGTAAGCAGTATGGTGTACTGATATTCTTTTTGAAATTTTGTGTGTGCTCCACTGCCATTTGTACATTTTAGCACAATCTTTCGTAAAATCCACCATTTGGTTAAAAAAGTGTATCATGCAGAAATATGAATTGTATTGTACCCTTTATGGATTATGTACACATGTCATGACATATATGTAATTATAACTGAATTTTAACTTTAAAAGTCTTTTATTATATGTTAAGAACTTACTTAAATATACAGATAAAGCAATTCAAATATATTTTAAATTTAATTTTTTAATTTGTTAGCATGCCAGACAGTGCATCTTTAATGTACAGTATACATTTATTTTCTATCTACAAAGTTTATTTTATAGCTGCAAGTGAAGTTGTACATATATTTACAATGTGAAGTTATTGAATGGATGTTAAATTTTTAGGTGTCATTTTTTGTGTGTTCTTTAAATAGAAACAATTCTGATCAACTGGAGCAAGAAACAAACCATGCAAAAAACTCTTTTCATAGAGGGTTAAACTTCCAGCTTATCGTAGAAGGCTGGCTAATATTTAGGGCCTCTTAAATATTTGAAATAATGAAATATTGCAAATGTGATATACGAAGCTTAAGCCGAGCACTCACTGTGTCATACGTTGGTCGTACAACAAATCCAATTCCTCTCCTTATAGCTCTAGATGACACGACACCTGATTGCCGGTGTGATTTTGAATGGATCATAATAAAAAGCAAATTGTTGCGCGTACATCATGGCGCTGCATTCTCTATAGAATTGCGTCGCCGACAACCGTTAGGAACGGTGAGTGTCCAGCTTTTGGCTATGTTCAGACACAATGATAACGTTAATCGAGTGATGTGAATTTGTGCACGGTGAGGCGAACAACAGTATTATTGCACAATCACTGGCGTACGGCAATCCACCAACAGACCCAGATTAGCGGCAGTCACGCATCAGTGATTTTGAACTAGGCCAGGGTTTGTTTTTTGACCCACAATGAATTTCGAACTGATCTTCCACTATATTGGGAAGCTGCTCTATATTCTGCAATTTATTATCTTTGGTAGGATGTGCTGTTTTAAATATTTCTAATGTACACTGGGTTAAAACAATTTTTAATATTTTTTATTGTATATGTTTTTTGTTTGTAACTTTTTATCCATATTAAGTCATTTGTTTTACTTTGTATAAAAGCAATGTACAGTAATTTTTTTTGGATAAATAAATATTAGTTTGACTTCAAAGATGTTTTTGTCATGAGATGGATTGCTGTGCTGTAAATTTATTTCAACCTAGACCCAGGGATTGGAAAGCAGACATGTTAACTTACATCGGGTTTGAGTCACGCCAGAAACACATTCTTGAATAATCATCTTTCCTTAATACATTCAGAACATTATTTCTCCTCATATTTTAGCATATATTTAGTGTATAATTATTGGCAAGCTTATCTTGTGATATAATTGCATAACATTTCATTCTGAAGGTATTCATTGTTGATTTAGTTGTGAGCAACATTTTCTAAGATGACTAAGAAGTCCAATTCTAGAGTGCCAGTCTTTGTTGCAGTATCCTGAAATATATATTGTAATAAAATTCCTCTGACGGGATTCGAACCTGCGACTTCCAGCTGTCAAGGCGAGTGTCATAACCATTTTATATATATGCAGTATATATATATATATATATATATATATACATATATATACACTAATCCTAACTAACTCATAGGGTGAAAAATCCTTTGTCTACATTTCGCCTTAACGTTGTTAAAATTTCCCCTTAGCGGCAGTATTTTCGCCTTAAGGTATTATTTTTAACACTTTCCATTGTTAACTTTTCCCCCTATGGTAGTATAGTGATGCAAAAACGCTGACTTATACAGTAGAAAACAAAATATTTTATTCAGGAAACGAATCAGATAAGATCAGATAATACAATAAATAATCGGCATTAAATAAAAGTGGGTGATTAGTGAGATATACAATAATGGAGACACAGAGATTGTGATATATGCAGGGAGAAAGATAATTTAAAAAGTGTAAAAAACAATGTAGCTGATATTGTGGAGGGTAAGCTACCAATGATACTGATAAATATAATGGAATAGAAACATTGGGTAATATATAAGCCTAATATAATATAATTATGATTCATTTATCATTAACATTATGAACAATAAAAACTGGGTAGATGCAGAGAAGTGAAAATCTATATTGTAATAGGGCTATTTAATTTTCATGAGCTGTGTCCCCTGATGATGGAATTCATATTCATGCAGCCGAGCTTATTTTCACGTTGCTTTCGTTGAATATTTTTGGTTGTGTCCGTATGGGAATTGTTCTAGAAATATCATGTTTTCTGTACGGTGTATCCACCGTCCTACAATAATTGGTGGTTGTACGTGGGTGTGGCTTACAATGAAGGCATCCTCTGATTGGATGAAAGTGTCGATATCCTTCCCAGTGGTTATGGGAATCTGCTTTGTGATCGATGGATTTGCATTGATGTACATGGGTTGGTTTCCTGGTTCTCGACGGACGATATGAGCAAAGGTGAGATGATGTCCAGCTGATTGACTGATTTCAGGTTAGTTGTTTCGACTGTGATTTTCAGACCGAATGACTACAAGTTTATAAATGTTTTTTTCCGTAACTTGGCCTACGGTCTGCGTTGCTGCGTGAGCAATTTTTGAGAATTGCCAGGCCATCGTCGTCAACCCAAGAGAACTTTTTTGTATCGTTCAACAAAGTTGTGGAATAATCTTCCACACAAAACAACAACAAATTTCATGAACATGTCTATTATATTTTTTAAAAACTCTTTTAATTCTTAATCACTTTATTATGATATCTATTTATATATATGTATGTTTTTTAATTACTTTTCTTTTAACTTTTGTATTTTATGAAACTGTACCACTTTGAAAAACAGTACACAAGTACTGAAAGTGCATGCAGTAGAAAGACAGAATAAATAAATAAATAAACCCTTTAGACTGGCTAGGCTTTAGGCCTTACACAAGTTTGGTTTCTAACTAAAGATGTGCATGGATAGGCCTACCACAAGCTCGCACACTTCCGCACCGTCGAATCTGATCCCATCTTCTCTGTGGCCGTTCGTTTATAAGTACTCTCTGATTGATCCCAGTTGTTTCGTGAAAACCAAAAGGAACCAGGAAAGTGATTAATTCTATATATAGGTAGGGGCCTAGGCCTAGGCCAATAACATTAACATTAAACAAAGGTGTTATTAATTTATTAAAGAGATATCATGTGAGTGTAAGGGTAAATAGGCTTAGTATTATTACTTAGTGCCCTTGTGATCTGGCAACTGTACATTTTAATAATATTAATTTTATTACGTTGCTAGTCTATCTGTTGATAGTCTGTCTAGGTATCCCACTCAGGCGTGGCCCATCTAAGGCTTACTGGCTAGGCATACCACTAGGAGGGGGTGGGGAGGGCTAGAGCATAAAATGTCCTTGTCAGTTTTTGGAGTGTCATTTTAGAGACCTAGCCTTGCTACTTTATACGCGCGCACCATTGTTAAAGCATGCCGCATGGAATTAAGTTATCCAGAACATACAGTAGTTCAGGCTTAACCTAGTTTATGTGTGGAGAATAAATCTTCCACGCAAAAATTTTTCCTTGAAATCCATCCACGCATTTCGGAAATTATGTGCGGATTAACTAGAAAGTCTTTTTTGTGTATTATGTCATGCGTAAGATGGTATAATACATACTCCAAGTATGGAAATGAATTGTAATATCAAGAATGATTTTAATCGGTGGACCTTTCGGTTTTTATGTTGTGCGTCGTGGTGGATTTGTCACATCTGTTTGTAATTTTCATTGTTTAACAATAACTTTTAATGTCTTCATGGATTCTTTTTTAAGTAATGTATCAATAGAAAGAGCAATTATTAGACATTCATTCCAGTGATTTTTTTAACAAATCAAAACAAAAAAAATATTTAAGGGTTCCTCTTTCCTTGGAACAAATGGCAGGTCGAGGGGAGATGTGGAGGCTCAATTGCCCTATGATCATTCCAGCTCAAATCTACTACCAT